CTGCACCAAGGAGAGCTATGACTACCTGAAGACTCTCGCAGGAGACGTCCACATAGTCCGAGGAGACTTCGACGAGGTCTGTGCAACAATGAAAAAGAAACAGCGATAATGTCGTGTGTTTGGAGGGGATGACGTTGGTCTTCAGAGTCCAGCAGAATTTTTAGTTTGCAGAACTTCCAATAAGAGGGTTTTCAACTAACGGCACAGATGGGGAAAAAGACATAATTAATGTGTCTAAATATTTAATTGCATGAATGAATTGAAATGGATCCCATGCCGGTACTAAAGACTAATGCGTGTAATGAAACTGTAATTGCTCTCCTCACAAATTGAATTTTACTCTCCTAGTTTACAAGTTTTAGAAACAGTCACATTGAAAAACTGAAGTCTTTTTATACAGTGATACCACAGTTGTTCTGTGCACATCTGTTTTTTAGTCGTAGATCACGAAGAACAAGTGTAACGTGACTTTCAAATCAAAACTCTCTCCTGTTCTCGTCTCAGAACCTGAACTACCCGGAGCAGAAGGTGGTGACAGTGGGCCAGTTTAAGATCGGTCTCATCCACGGCCACCAGGTGATCCCCTGGGGTGACATGGCCAGTCTGGCAGTGCTCCAGAGACAGCTTGATGTCGACATCCTCATCTCCGGGCACACGCACAAGTTCGAGGCATTCGAGAATGAAAACAAGTTCTACATCAACCCTGGTTCGGCCACAGGAGCCTACAGCGCACTGGAAAGGTAGAGGGGTCATTCACACTGATGAAACATAACCTCCCACTGTCACCTCACAGGCTGGAGATGAGGACAAAGTCTAATTTAAGCACTGAAATAAAAAATCCCTTGTTTACATGAGTAGTCCAGATCCAAAGGTACAACCACTCAGACACTGGTACCATTGAAGAATAAAGTAATTGATAAACTGGCGGAGAAAGTCCCTGTGGGATAGGGGGTCAGTTTCACTATTCATCACATGACTGAAACGAAACAGGGAAAAAAGGTAAACGGGAATGTGTAGGATGGGAAAATCATCATGATAATATGAAGCTAAAAATGTGAAGTCAGCAGTTATTAGTTTGTTTCCACAAAGCATACGTAATGTATGCTTGTAAGTCTGATCTCATGTCATTTAATGTCAAGCATATAAAGTAAAGTGGTTCATTTGTTTAGATAATATCACGATGCAAATTTCTACCAGCGCGTCATTGATAATTCCCACCACGTGTAAGCACTGAGCTAACGGACTATGGGCTCGTTATTTGCCACATGGTCGTAGCAGTTAGAATCAGGACAAGGTTTTATTATCAAGTAGGTTTTCACTTACGGGGAATTTGCCTTGGTGTTTGGTGCACACAAATAATACACAATAAGCATATCAAGGGTCAGCAAAACTACTGCAACGGTCACTAACATAAATGTAACTACAAAAATCTGAATAAAAATATGAAAAATATACTGTAAAAATATTATGATGTAACAAAGGTATGTGAAATACAGCTGTTTCAGCTGTTATGTTTGGAGTTATTTTAGCATTATGTTATACTGATTGATTATGCTCAGTTTTTATATATAAATATGCCATTCCTCTGGAAAAACACAACGCGGGAATGGGGCGGGACACAAGTCCTGGACGACCGATCTTGACACCTGTCTCTAGATCAAAACCAATCTCGAGTATAACAACACTGCCAGCTGCAACATAAATATATATATTTTCTTCTGATTCTGCATATTGAGTACTTTTACTTTTGGTACTTTACTTATATTTTAATGCCAGACAGTACTTTTATACTTTTACTAAAGCAACAGTTTGAATTCAGGACTTTCACTCACAATGGAGTATTTTTACTAGAGCTGCAACGATTAGTCTATTAATCAAATCAGTCGACTGAAGGAAAAGAAATCGCTGATACTTTTTGATAATTGATTAATCATTTCAGTCAATTTCTTGAGCAAAAGTGTCAAATACTTGCTGGTTCCAGCTTCCTAAATGTGAGCGTTTGCTGCTGTTATTTGTCTTTTATGATTGTAAATGAAGAGTCTTTTGGTTTTGGACTGATGATTGGACAAAGAAAGCATTTTGAAGACATCATTTTGGGCTCTGTGAAATTGTGTTGAGCATTTTTCACATTTTTTGACATTGTACGGACTAAAAGATTAATCTATTAATCTTGAAAATATAAAGACGAAAAGCAACTGGCCAGCTCACTCAGTGTAAAAGTCCACGGTACAGGCAGGAAGTCCAAAAATGCATCCGAGGCACTCTGACTGTGGTCAAAAATCCTTTATTTATACATGGATAAACCAATGTGTTTCGACAAGAGAGTCTTCATCAGGGTGTAAAATGCATTGGGAACAGGTGTGCAATTTAAGAACTCATGTGGGGGTCATGTGACACAGGTCACATGATATATTGGTGTAGCCGTAGTAGACAAAAACACATTGAAAGAAAATGAAGTACATGTATACTATGAGTAATTCACATATCTAGATATATGTTGTGTTTGCAATGCATTTTACACCCTGATGATGCTGATCACATTATAAAGTAACAGTTAACAAATATGACTGTGACATTTTTTGGAGCCTCTGATGTTGCTGCAGATCTTTTCCACAGTGATGACGCTCTCCACTGTGACCTACAGTACAAGAGGTGTAACAGTAGAAACCAGACTGTAATTACAGTCAGAGGTGTTGTAAAAGCCTCAACCCTAAAACACGTCTGTCTTCTCTCCTCACAGCAACATCATCCCCTCTTTTGTATTAATGGACATCCAGGCATCAACAGTGGTGACGTATGTTTATCAGCTCATCGGAGACGACGTCAAGGTGGAGAGAATCGAATACAAGAAATCTTAAAGGACGGCGTGAGGAGGAAGAGGAGGAGGAGGCTCTGTGTATCGTTTCATTCCTTTCCACCAGGGGGCAGCAGCTCTCCTGCAGTCACCACAATGTTAATGCTGTAACAAACTGTTCAGTAACTTAACTCTAAAAGAAAATATGTATTATATTGTTTATAAGTCATCAGCATTTGCTTGTGTCCAAGCTGTCATCTGGTAACTGTAGAGAATGCAATAATGTCACATGTATTTGTTATCAAAAGAAATATTTGGTGCCATTTTCTTTCCCTTTTTTTTTTTTTTTTTTTGTTTTGTTACTTTGGCCCTCGTCTTGTCCTGTAACCACCAGGCCTTTAGCTTCCTGTTGTCGGCCTTTTTTCATTTATTTCCCACAATAAAGATCTAATTTCACTCCATCAGCTGTTTTTGTCTTCAGTAACACAGGAAGTAAAAACAATATGAACATGTATACATATTGTGGATCACACTGTGGTCAAGGTAGTAGAGAGGGAACAGTCACTGAGGGGGAAATCCAGATGATGTCTTTTAATGGAAGTGGTTAAACTTAAGAGATCTAAGAGCAGACGAACAGAAGTCCCCAAATTTTCCTCCAGCTCACATTACTGGTGTTGTGTTCAGCCACTTTCTAATGATTGATTTTTTTATTGCAGCCAAAAGGGCCGGCAGCAGCTTTGTATCCTTCGTCTGTTTCCAAAACACAATGTGACCCAGATAAGGAGTCTCCAAGTTCAGGGGCGCTTGAGTCTTAAACACTGTACTTGATGTTTTGTAAATGCCCTTACTGTGTAAAATCAGTTTGGGGCAGTCTCAAAATATATGATACTGGTTTGCTTCCACTGAGTAATGAGTTTGATTATTCTAAAGGTGTTGGACGGGGTTGAGATCAGAGCTCTGTGCACACCAGTTGAGTTTTTCAGCACCAAACTGGGAGAACAATTTGGGTACAGGGCCAGCTTTGTGCACGAGGTATCATACTGAAAGAGGAAAGTACTGAAAAACTATTCACACAAAACCGAAAGAACACTGTCTAAAATATTGTACGCTGTAGCATTCCTCTTTTAGTGGAACAAAGCAGGCTCGTCCAAAACCACAAAAAAAAAGCCCCAGAACAAAAACTGAGCAGGATTGTAAACAGACTTTTTGCCACATGGTTGAATTTGATATCCAGAAAAGTATCAGTATTGTACAGTAAACCTTAGTTACCATGGAGGACACACAGGAAATGGCTTCAGTGTCATTTCTAGCTTGTTAACAACAAACTTCACACAAATTACACCTTTAAAAACAGATTCAGCTTTTTTTAGCAGTTGGTGTTCTTGGATTGGACTGTTTTCAGGCCAAACATGTTGCTAAGAATATCATAATCATAAAATGAAATCATAAACTCCTGACATTGAAGAGAAGTCTCTGAAAGAACATGTAGAGCCTCATGCAGGGAGATAAAACTAACCAATCATACATTTTTTTACTAGGAATGCACAATAAAATCAGCACATCATCAGTATCGTCAACATGCTTTATCTTAATTTGCACAATGAATAAATATTACAAACATTGAAAAGTATTACATTTCATGTCTCCATCTGCTGGTGGGCCGTCACGATAAGAGTATGCATGTATAATATGAAGTTAATTCCACTACAGAAGAGACTTGATGATCACTAAAATTAGGTGGGGAAAATGTGGATGTATCAATATCAGTATCGGTTATCAGACAAATAAGTTGTTAGAATTCTGGTATATTGCATATTGGCAAAAATCCAATATTGTGCATCTTTTTTTAGTTTATTTTTATTAGCAGATGCTCAAATTACAGTGCAGGAGCACCTCCAAAAATGTGTCAGGTTTCCATTTGTGCATTTGAATATTTTTAACAGAAAAAATAAAAGGTAACAATAACAAAGATACTTATCAAAAAACATCAACAAAAAAAAAACAAAACAAAGAAAAAATATTTGAATTAATTAAAAGGATAATATTTCTTAAATATTCACAGAGAGGATGTACTTATGTAAGTCTTAGGACATTTTGACGTAAAAACATATATGAATTTTATTTAATTTTAAACTATTTTTAATTTTTAATCAGCGAAATCAAATTTTCAATTATTTTCAGAGAAAAAAAATCATCTCTACTTTAAAAAAAACCCATAAAAACTCTATAAAATCTGTTGCTGTTTGTTTTAGTGTATCCAGAAGGTGTCATTAACACACTAGTGGTTGTGGTGTTTCCAGGCCATGAGATGTGATCCCACTGCTCAGCTTTCACCAGCACAAGACCTGATCACGTGATTTCCTATAAACAGTCCTCTAAAGGTTTTCTCTTGCTGCCAACAGAGGCACCAAAGTACAAAACTAGCTGGTGCAGGTTTAATGACAACACTGAGCTGCTACTCACAGTGTTTCTGTTCTGTTTACTGTGTTTTGCTTGTTTAAGATCCCCAGTTTAATGCAGAATCATTATAAACAAAGACATCTTTTGGCCTTTGCCTGGAGCTGTGAATGTGGGGAGATTATTCTCACGTTATACTGACACAAAATGTTACTGTGAGCGCTCAGAGGTTGAATAGAAATGTCATAAATCTGAGAGAGTGTCGTCATCCCATTGTCCCACAGACAGTGAACTCAAACATTCACTCAGAGAGTCATCCAGTCCTTCGTCCTCCTCCTCCTCCTCCTCTAACAGCTTGGTCCTGGCTCCTGGCAACAAAAACAAAACATTCAACCAACTACAGACATAAAATAACTTTATCCATTTGATCACATGAACCCTGACTGGTAAAAATAAAAGATAAATATGCCTAAATATAACAGACGTAGATACAGAAGCTTGTCGACAAAATTACCCTGAAATTAGAGAAAGAAAGTTATCACATATTTGAAGTAGAAATTTTAAAGAAAGCTTCAATGTCACACTTCTCACTTACGCCTTGGACTTTTTCTTCTCAGTGAGGGAGATGATGATGTACGTTTCTTCATCTTTCTTTGTTTTGATGCTGATGTGTTGGAGAGCCTGCAGTGTTGATCAAACACAGTGAGCAGGATTTATACTTCTGCGTCAAATCAATGCCCTACAGCATAGCCTGACGTGCACCTCCCCATAAATGTAACTACACATCGCAGAGACGCAGACCTCCTGTCTGTTTCTGTAAGCTGAAACCATTTCCCTCAGTGGAAACAAAGCTTTTATTTACTTTAATTTCACAGATAAGAAATTGTCAAGACAGTAAAGCCTCCACAAAAATAGCATTTTAAGTCTTGTGTGTGATTTATCCTGGCTTCATATGAGCAGAGGAAATGTTTTCTAACCGCTAGGCTAATTTATACAATGTAAAATGCCATAGGCTTGTGCTAATAACGTTAGCATGTTATATTTGTTTGGAAAACGAGTTTAGTATAAGACAGTTGTTTTGTCAGTGAACCTTGTGAGTTGTAATGGAGCCAAATTTTGTAACGTTACCTTTGTTAAATGTTGCTGTTGTCCCTGGCTTCATTTGAGAAGAAGAAAAAAAAGCTAGCAACTAAGCTAATTTATACAATGTAAAATGCCATAGGCTTGTGCTAAAAATATTAGCATGTTGTATTTGTGGGGAAAATGTGTCCAGATAAAGACAAGTGTTTGTCTGTGGATGCTGCGAGTTATAGTGAAGCTGATTTGTGTACTTGTGTTTGAAATTGTCTCTATTAAACCATGTTTAATGTGTGTTTAATGTGTGTTTAGGGTGTGTTTTGAAGCAACAAAACTTGATAGCACTTCACAGAAACCCTGACACAATCACACAACGCTCATTACGGCGTATTCTACGTGCGTAGGCTACGATGTAGGCTCTGCATAGAGCTGCTTAATACTTGCTTACAAGCTCTGTGTAATGTTACTTTAAAAGGTGAGGTAAGACATGTTCTGCTACTTTTTATGGCACAACATTCAGCTATAAATATAAACACTTTTAGAATAGTAATGGATGTGTAATCACCTTAAAATACATCTTCATAATCTCCTTTAAATTGTGTTTTTGTGTACAAATATTTGTTGAAAGTGTGTGACCCACCTGGCTTGACTGTTTGGGATTTTTGGAAGAAAGGATTTCCCAGAACTCCTCGCACTGGTGTTTATCTTCGCTTTGTGTTTCACCGTCAAAGGAAGTTTTGAGCGATGTTTTTCACTCGCATCAGTTCCCAGTGAGATAACAGAAGTCGCAACAAGGTCGTCTCTTTCAGGGCTGCAGCCTTTAAACAGAGTTGAGATCAAAACAGTGTTAAAACACCTGTGAAGACATGAAGCTGGATTTTGATAATTTCCTGAGATAAGCACAACAACATATCATACACTGGAAAAATAGCTGGCACACAGCGTTGAATCAAGATTAGGGTTATCTAAAGTGCATTATCACACAAAAGTATCTCAACATGTTTTACTAAAAGCAATGAAAACAACAGAAGAAATAAAATACATTCATCCATTTTCATCCGCTTATCCGGAGCCGGGTTGCGGGGGCAGCAGGTCGAGCAAAGCACCCCGGTCGTCCCTCTCCCCAGAAAAGCTTTCCAGCTCCTCCTGGGGGACCCCAAGGTGTTCCCAGGCCAGATGAGAAATGTAATCCCTCCAGTGTGTTCTGATTCTGCCCCGGGGCCTCCTACCAGTGGGACGTGCCTGGATCACCTCTTACGGGAGGCACCCAGGAGGATCCTGATCAGATGCCCGAACCACCTCAACTGGCCCCTTTTGACGCAAAGGAGCAGCAGCTCTACTCCGAGCTCCCTCCGGATGTCTGAGCTCCTCACCCTATCTCTAAGGCTGAGCCCAGACACCCCACAGAGGAAACTCATTTTGGCTGCTTGTATCCACGATCTCATTCTTTCGGTCACTACCCAGAGCTCATGATCATAGGTGAGGGTTGGGACGTAGATGGACCAGTAAATCAAAAGCTTCGATTTACTGGTCCATGCAGCCTCAGAGGGAGTTCAAGTACCTCGGGGTGTTGTTCATGAGTGAGTGTATTTTTTAACTCAACTAAAACCTCTTCTCCTCCAGTCACCCTATCCAGAGCCCAGGACAAGCTCATTGGTATGAAACTACCAATGACTGCTGCGCTGCTTTGTACCAGGTACAAGACAGGGCCTGTTGTGTTAATGGTTAGATACGATCTGAGAGGCACAGTAACAAACCCACACACTGCTTTATAGGTCTGGGTAAGGAGGGGAAACATGTAACTCCAAAGACTTGTGTGGCTGACAAACAAAGGTTGGACAAACCTCTATGGTTGTTTTATTCTCACCTGCTCGCACACACCTCTGCAGCACGTTCATGTAGTGTTGGGTGATGAGGTTACGCACGTGTGCGGTGCTGTAGGAAGCTGCGATGGTGTACAGATAATCCTTCTGAGCTGGTGTAAGTGCTGCATGCTGTGGGAGAGACGGAGATCAGGTTCAAACTCACACACACACATTTCCTTTGTGTGACATCAGGCTGTTGTATTGTACTCTAATAACCTTTCACTAGCTCGGAACAAAGGATGAATCACCAGGTATATCACTTACAGTGACTCAGTAGTAAAAATTCTAAGTGGAGGAAGGACTCAGATTCTTTACTAAGTAAAGCGTCAGACAAATGTAGTGGGGTATGAAGTGCTATATTTACCTCTGAGATGAAGGGAGTAGAGGTGTAAAGTTGCATAAAATGAAAATACTTAATTAAGGTAGAAGTACCTTGAATTTGTACTACAGTAAATTACTTAATAACATTGCACCACCTGTCGAGGGTATTAAAACCAGCTCAATGGTCATTAAGTGAATGTTTTATGTACAAAATAGATCTCAGTAAAGATTAGTTTTACCTGCAGAAATGGGCCTGTGCTCATGGTTTTAGGGATTTGTATGGTTGTCCCGTGTTGGAGCTGTGGTTCACATCTTTCAGCTGCTGCTCTGTTCATTCTCAAGCCACTGTTGAAGTTCACACTGGCATCTGTTACTGCTGTTATCAGAAAGAAAACAGACATTGTGACAAATTTGTGTGCACTGCGGAACAGTTGAGGGTGTTTGCTGTGAGGCAGGATATCAGGAACTGAGAGTCTATGTGTAGCTCAAATGAGAGACATTTGAAGTGTCTGTACCTTTTCTGAATGGCCACACTCAAAGGATAAAAGCATGTCTTTATAGAAAGGAGTGGGACGCGGTAAATTGTACAAATATTGATATTGGTGCAGTTCAAAGATTTTTCCTGGAAAGAATTTATGATGGTGCATTCATTTGTCCACATGAAGTGACCTTTGCACCTCTGGTTATTTGCTGCATAAAATGGGCAGAATTGTTGGATTGTTTTGTTAAGTCGCAATTTCACCATCTGACCTTATCAGACAATCCAACAAGCAGTTTGTTTGAAGAATGCTGATACCATCCACCTCACATTAAAAAAAATCAAAAAGGAAACATTACAAAAAAGGTTTTGCGCTTGGCTGAGGTGATGTTTTTAGGAATCTTATGACTGTGGGAAAGTCCTCATTTCAACTTCTCGAATCAGTTCCACATTCTTTGTGGCACTTTCAAGGCGACAGGAAGAAATATAAACAGGGTGTCCAGCAAGAGTTCAGCTCAGTATGGCACACCACGCCACTCGAGGTTCCACATCCAAAATATTGCCATATTGGCCATATTAATGCTGTGTTTACTCTACAAGTGACACAGAAACAGGCTTGCCTCTGCTGATGGGCATGATGGGAACCGAAAGCTGAGCTGGCCTCAAGTTTTTTCATCGCGCCAGTGATGCAGTGAACTGTCAACTAACCATATGTTTTTGTTTCTAGCTGTGGTACTGTGTTATTTAGCTCAGTTAGCTTGCAGTGCACACGGGGCTGCAATGGGGCAGTGAAATATGATGTTAAAATGTGGCTCAAACATTAAACAAAAAACTAATGCAAATCTTAGATGACATTCAGTTGAGCTGCTTTGTGGAAAATAGCAGACACACGTAAGCCTGTGACGACGTAACCACGTTAACAAGCGTTTGGGCATCACTTCAATAGGGACTTGACGATAATGACGCTGGTCACGCTGTTGCTGTGCTGCTCATAGTGTTAATACAGCACAACTCTGCAGTGTCTCGTCACCCCAAAAAACACATGAACTCTCTAGTAAACAAACACAACGTGCACCACTCTTCCCCTTCCCACCTCTACTGACATTTGATTTCCTTCATGTTGCTTGTGTTCAGCTCTGCAGCAATGTCTGCAGAGCCTGTCAGGCACCGGTGGCTCTGTTAGTCCATTTATAAACAAACCTAGTCTTGTAATTCACGTTATCATACTGCTTATGACTAATGCAACACAAGCTGGATTTAACGCTTTGATGCCGTCAGCACAGGTTACTGATGCAATCTACTTTTTAATCAGCCGGAATGTGACATAATGACAAATGCTTGTTCAGGAGGTTATATAAAACCAAACCAGTTTGAGCTGGTACACCAGACTGGAAAACCCCACACCGGAAACCGACTCCACTCCACGGTGTAGTGCCAAAAAAAATGTGACAAAGACTGATGACAACACACTTGGGGAAAGAATAAACTGTGATGGACATGAAGCGTATGACTTCAAGAATCTGCTCCATGAGCTGGAAATAGGTGACGGACAAAAATCTGATCAGTGTGGAACAATGAGGAAACTGAAACAAACATTAACGCCACATTTCGACTGTACTGAGAAATAAAGCTCAATAATTCAAGTGTTTTTGTGTATTTCCGTACACCTGAGCCAAAACCGAAGGCTTGTATATGGGCTCACTTAAACTGATTCTCATTAGTAAACAGCACGAGTGAGCTTTCCTCCTGTAACTGAGCAGGCGTGACCCAGGTTCAGGTTCAGGTTCAGGTGTAGGATTTCCCCTCTGTTCCACTGACGTCTTAACATCGCTGTGTCAGCTAGAAAACCTGACACTCAGGTTTCAAAGCAGACAGGATACTGGACATGTTTTGTTTATTTAACGAGGAGATAGTGCATGTACATCTGTGATCTGACCCAAGGGAGGACAGCAAAATAGACAGAATAAAGTGGATTCTATACGTTGGAGAAAAAACTGAGTCATTACTTGGGTTCCTTCTTATTTCTGCTTGTACAATTATTCACCACTGACCTCATAAAAAGTGCACTTTTTTGGGATTTAAACTTACCCATCTTTGATTTATTCATCCCAGTCCTCCTGCAACAGACAGAGAGCAACACACGTGTCATCTCATGAGTGACATTAACACAAACTCACAGGTTAAAACACATAATCAGGACAAATCATTTGTTGCAGGCATGCACTAAAATAAAATCATTACTTTACCTTTGCAAAGCCTCCTCCTGATGGAGCCTGTGGATCTTCTGACTTTCTGCAAATGTCACTTGTTTTTTCATGTTGGGAAGACGCACAGAGACTCAGTCAGGTGTCGTCTGAACAGGCAGCAGCAGCCAGTTAAAGACATGTCCATCCACACTGAGGTCAGTCCAGATAATTAAAGTAAAGAGGCTGTCTGGCTCACTGAGGACCTTCAAGGCCAGTGGGTGTGTCCTTTTCCACAAAACTCCAGCTTATTTGCTGAAAGAAAGAAAACAGGAAAAATAAGATGAAATTATAGTGAGCCTTGCAGTAAATTTTTCTGGATTCAACACTAAAAAAATACTTTAATTCAGGGTTTGCATGATCTCATTTGCAGGTGTTTTGCATGCTCCAGTTTAATCTCAATACACAAGCAAATCAGGTAAACTGGGGACACTCCCTTGGAAATTCCTCTGTCCCTCAACATGACAGAGCAGGTATGAAAATTACCCATTTTATTCAGTAATCCAGTTCTTTGATGGGATTAAAACTGTTTTTCAAATTCATATATGAGCGAGCAGTTGTTCAAATATGGATTTGGTTTCCTGAATATAAGTTTGAAGCTAGGGCTGGGCGATAAAACGATCTCAAAACAGGATCACAATAAAATGTATGCCGATGACAACAATAAACTATAGTCATTTTTACTCGATATGGATAGACCTAGATAGATCTGTGTCATGCAGCAGGAGTTAACAGCCAGCTGTCAGTCAGTCTGCAGTGTTGGGGATGAGCGTCACCGTACATGCCCATTTTTCACTGCAAAAATTGTGCTGAGGTGAGTGAGCCGAGGTGAGGAGGTGAAGCTGAAGAGGAGCTCACGTTATCCTCAAAAACTGAAGAAATTGTGGATAAAAAAGGTCACACAACATCAATAATTTGGAAGTGGTTTAGCTACTGAAAGGAAACGACGCATGGAAGGTCTGCAAAATATGTCGTCAGTTGGTGCCGACCAGGACAGAAAACACAACAAACCTTTTCCATCACCTTAAAAGGTGGCATTCCAGCGACTTCACTGAGAGCATGGAAATCCAGGAAACTGCAGTAAGTCCACCAACGGACTTACTGCGTTGGTGTTGCTAAACGGCCGAGCACTAGTGGAGCTGCACCAAAACAGCAATTAATAGTGTCCTCTTCTGCTGCGGCAGAGATATAACAGACACAGTGTCGCACTTTCTAGCCAAAGACATGATGCAAGATACTTTTCAAACTCGCAGCTATTTCAAATTATATATCATGATAAATATCAATATCGATCAGTACACAGAATGATCGTGATAATATGTTTTGCCATATGGCCCCGCCCTATTTGAAGCTTTAGCGCCCAGTAGCTCAACGGTTAGAGTGGGAATCCCATGTACAAAGGTATTGTCCTTGCCACAGCAGCTGTGGGTTCAATTCCAGTTTGTGGCCCTTTGCTGCATGTCATTGCCTCTCTCTCTACCCCCTCACGCTTAACTCTGTCCTGTCAAATAAAGGCAAAAAGCCAAAAATACAGGAATCCTTGGCCACTGTTTGTAAACTGTACAGCCAGCCAAAGTTAAAGTGAAGCCAACCCCTGTTTCATTGTCCACTTGTTGCTTTGCGTCACTATATTTGCTGTTTTTTGGCGCTGTGTCTGTGATTTTAGTATCTTTCTTTTGGATGCATGTTTCTCATAGTCTGGCACCTGATCGCTACCTACCCAGGAACGTACAGAACATAGAAAATAAAAAAAATAAAGGCTGAATGCAGAGTCTCTGCAGATTAATACACCACCACTCACTTCAAGTGGGACAGTTCACCCCAAAATTAAAAATTCCTATTTTCCCTCTTACCGGTGCTGTTTATCAACCGAGATTGTTTTGGTTTGAGTTAGTGTCTCTCCAATATAATGGAACTTGATGGCACTCAGCTTGTGGTGCTCACAGCACCAAAAAATACATTTAAAAAACTCAATATCTCTGTCCATAAATCATGACCCTGTTACTCGAGATAATCCACAGACCCTGCTGTGAGCAGTATCATGTAGGAACTATTTTCCTGGATGAAGAGTGACATCTAGTTTCATTATAGGAAGCTCAGCGTGAGTTCAATCAGGAACACTTTCTTTGTGCTCTCCCTCCCACTCCCACTGCTTCCTCTTATCAGCTGACTGTGAGTGTTCACTCTTCCAGTTATCCAATCAAACTTCACCTCAATCTCAATCAGCCAATCAGGATGCTACTGCAAAATTTTAAATCTGCTCTCTCCTCTGCTGCTGTCAGCTGTCATTGTAGGCAGAATTGTCGCGCCCTCCTCCACCTGTTCACCTCCAGCCATCACATCCAGACTCCGGGACAAGTCAGCAGACTCATTTCTCCATTTTATCCACATCCTCTTCTCTTCTCATCTTCACCACCTCTACCACCACCAGTGTCTAGACCCTGGGGGGGGGGGTTCCCTATTTGACTATGGATTCTTCACCCTTCTTAAAACAAGCCATCTAGATGGGGTGTAATTGCCAAAGACTTTGTCCCTTTAGTATCTATGAAATCAATGACATGTCCATATTCTGTATTAGCAAACATTAGCATGCCAACATTACCTGCTACACATTATTACAGTGAGCATGCTGTGATTAGCATTTAGCTGAAAGACCCATTGCATGACTGTTGACTGCTTATTGTTTCATTCTGTCTCTCCAAGTAGTTTCTCTTGTTTTGATTTTTTATCTTTTTTGTGCTTTTATGGTGTTTACTCAGCTCCTGATAGGAGATGCACGAGCGGACTTTGCTCTGCATTACAGAACATTCGGAGCCACTGAGAGAACCACGCCTGCAACCACATAATGTGTAACTGCATCAGCCTGTGGTTAAGAGGCATTTAGACTCCATCGACTGCTGTTACGCTCAACCAATTTGATTCACTCTTTCGTTTTTCCTACATCATACAAAAATTTGACCCCATAGCTGGGAAATATTCATCCTCTGTTTCTGTTGGGATTGAAGGGAGTATCCAACTCTCCCTCGGCTACAATTGGATTACGGATATCCCCCAGTGCTCTCACTCAGTTCCGGAATATCCCTGGTACATTCTTAACAGCTTTTTCTCAAGACTGCTCTCTCTGTTCTCCGAGGGTGGTAACTATTGCATCAGACACATGCAAGACAGACAGAAGTCAAACACACCCACACAAACCTACAGCAGTGGATTGAGATGAATCTATGGCACACTGAGAGTATTAACACTGCAAATAAATCAACACTGTATACGTTAGGGAACATTACTATCAGTCTGTGAATCTTGAATCTCAAAATAAATTATTTAACACAGCAAATGTGACTCAGCCATGGACTCATGTTGAACGGGAAAACTGGGAACATAATCATGAATAATCAAATACTTTCACATTTGAATTCGCTTTGGATGTCTTTCATTTCCGAAGCAATCTGGCAGTAATCGAGAGTTTGTGTACACAAGTGAAGATTTTCCACTCATTACTCAGATCAATGGCACATTATGCTGATAAGTGACAATCCTCAGATACCTGACGACACAGGTGAACAGGAACAGGTGTCTCTCCCACTCACTTGTGCTGTTTACACCTGCAGATGAAGGAGGAGACTAATACTCACGGTGGATGTTACTATAAATAACATGACAGGGATATTTTTTTGTTTTTCAAGTGGGGTTGTATGAGGTACCTATCCACAATCAGTGTGTTACATACAGTAGACTTCAGTCAGCACGCCCGTAGTTTGGAGAAGCAGGCTGGGGGCTGACACAGAAGCTCAGCAATTTACTGCTCTGGAAAGGGCAACAACAATAGGTGTTTTAGCAACCTAAAAAAGTGCCACCAAAAAAAATCAATGCTAGTTCAAGTTAAGGCTATATTGGGAGTATTTTTGCTGATTAACCCCAAGGCTTAGCAGCGATTTATCAGCTTCAGAATAAGGGTGAGTACGGAGCCAGACATGATCATGTTCCTGCTTACGTTTTGTGCTTTTCGCCCACATATGAGGCAATCATGGCCTTCACGTTACGATTGATCCTCTCTGTCATGTTGGTTTGAGGATGATAGGGCGAGGTCCGCTTCTGGGATAGGTTCCACCGCCTGCAAGTCTCCTCAGAAACAGATGAGACAAACTGTGCACCTTGGTCAGAGAGAATGGAAGTTGGCGCGGCCCACTGAGTCAGAATCTCTCTCACCAATACCTTAACCTTAACCTCAGACAGTGACTTCCAACAAGAAAATGAGGCTGTTATATTGCACCCTTCAAAGCCAGACTCCATTGAGAAAAACGGCGATTTAATATTGCTAAACGCAGGAGTTGCTGGTCTACTGCTGCCTGATTAGTTTTCTTTTTTGTGTTATTGTGTGACTTTGGCGTTCAGTTCGGATTAATCAAAGTCAACAATAACACTAACTAACTAACTGATAGAGGCAGTGGGGGACCAGAACCTCCTGTGTTCAGCGAGCTAAAATTCCTTTTTTTGTCAATGGAGTTTGGTGGCTTTGACAAGAGCATAGATGGGGAACTCCTCGTTGGAGAAGGCTGTCTGACGGAAAGGTAAAGCACTGAAATTACCCTCAATATAGTGTACACTTAAATAGATATTTATATTTTTAGGTGGGACTTTCTTTAGGTGCTTTAAATATCCTCATCCACAGCATTGCATTGCTTAGCTTTAATGTTTGACTCCAATCTGCTTCTCCAGACTAGGGGTGAGCTGACTGACACCTACCGTATGTTATACACTGACTGTATATAAGTACCTCATACAACAACAAAAATAAAAATGCTATACTTGTTTGTGATACATGATGACCTATTGCATTGTTTTGGTGTGGTGTGTAAAAGATAAGACACTTTTGAATAACCAGGTATTTGAGATTAAAACACTATTCCAGTGGTTTTACATGTTAAAGCTCGTTTACTACGTGTTATATCCAACAAAATAAAAAAACCCCACTTAATCTAAATGTGCATTCATTCACTTTTTTCCACAGCACTGACATATTATTATCACATTATAAAGTTGTTTAAGGTCTGGTGTGTGTGGGATTATGTGGCATCTAGCAGTGAGGTTTCTGAACTTTAACTTCTTCTGTGTGATAAGCGTGTAGGAGAGCTACAGTGACTCCAAGGTAAAGAATCCGCTCGGTATGAATGGTTTGCATTCTAGTTGACAACGGTGGACAAGTTGGAAAAAAACATGGACACCAACAAGAACGTTACCCTTCTACCGCTGGGCTAGCCGTAGCCAGACTGTTAGCATAATCAGTTGATAACAATACTCTATGTGGTATTTTGCACATACAGACTCACTATGTATGTGACCGGCAGCCATCTTGAATTCGTAAGTCGGGGTTGATGCGATTGCTCCGAGTTGGTGCGTCTCAGGGTGCGTTTGAGTTTAAACTTCAGACTGGGAACTGGGAATTTACGACTTCCAAGTACAAAACGAACGCACCAGAAGTAACGCTTTTAAACTTTTAAGCTAATCTTACATAGTGGCCAAAAGTGGTATTACAACAACTGGGTCCATCATGTGATGCCATGGGGCCCGAGAAGACTTTTTTCCATAGACTTACATTGTGAAATAGACATCTGTAAATCAGTAGATACCTTTCTCTGAGCGCCACAAAATGATTTGTTTTACTACTTAACAACTTTGTTTTTCCGTTCGATTTGGATTTTTGCAGAAAACAAGCTCTGTGGCAAACAAACCTTTATGATGCATACACTTTTTGTTCAGCAAGATAACCGTCGCAAATGAACACTACCCTCATGACTATTGAAGCCTAAAAGCAATCACCAGGAGTTAGACTATGAACAAACTACACTGTAGTTACACGACCAAACATCACCACCATAAAAAAAACTGTAAAGCCGGTTCAGCGCGGCTCGGTGCAATAACATTTTGTAGTCTCATTTTGCCTTTTTTGAGACACATCAAAGCTTAAAAGTTCATGACTGGAGCATTCACTGATGTATTTTATGTAAAAGAACAAAACATAAAAGCTTGTGTGAACAGACCTTTTTTCAGGCATCTAACCAAAAACCCACTGGCTTTGAAAGGAAGGAAATGGAATTTTACATCATTATCTAACAAAACAATCTCATTACAAGGTTCAGTTAGCTTTTCTGGAGCTACTAATTAAATCTGAACAACTATAATGTCTTTGAGTACCTGAAGGAGATGGTGAGGTCAAGACTCAACCTTCAATTATTATCATTATTATATTATAATTTAATAGTAGTAGTAGTTTTAGTGTTTATGTTATTGTTGTGTGTCAACATGATGCAACACCTTTCACTTTAAGGCTGTAACCAGCTCTGAAGGAAAACGAAAGTGTGGATGAGGTAATGGGGAAACCCGTTTATTTGCCTCTCCAGTATAAGAGATGGGATCTTAGAGCTGCTGATTCAGTTTACAAAGCCCTGAGAAGCAACGTGTATCACTTAAAAGTCACTGATTCAGCCACTGAATCTTTAAAACGAGTTCAAAATGAAGAAATTTTTTAAGAGCAAATCTCAGAGCGACAGCAAGAGACCTTTAATTGAGAGTGAGAATAACAACAACAACAACTGCAACATAGAAGGTAAGTCTCTTTTATGACTGTGGGTTTGCTCTGTTTGCATAGTTTACATGAATGAGTGAGCTTCTTTTCATTTACAGTGTCGTTGTTATCTGATACCATCTGTCTTGTTACTGTGGCTTTATATTTCAGTGCAGCTTGAGATGAGGCTCAGTTGTTCAAACATCATTTTAAATACTATTTTCCTGGGTGTGTGTTTGTGAAATGTAAATATAGAACCTCAGAAGTTACAAAGTGTAAAAACAATGATGTGTTCTTTACTTTAATGTTGCAGCTGGTAAAGATAGAGATCATTTTAATTACTTTACAAACTGCTGGGTAGCTACATCTATCATAATATATCAGAAGTTACAAGTTGATTTACATTTTGTATAAATAATCTGAATCTGCAAAGTAACTAAAGCTCCCACATAAATGTAGTGGAGTAAAAAGTATAATATCTGCCTCCAAACTGTAGTGGAATATAAGTATAGAGTAGCATAAAATGGAAATATTCAAGTAAAGTGCAAATATGTCAGAATTTGAGGTCAGTTTCTTTCAGTACAGTAAATGAGTAAATGTACTTGGATAAAATCTACAGCAGTATTTTACCTGGTCTCCTCTTTTGATTCACAAAACAGGTCTCACAAAGTTTTAAAATTTACAGATATAACACGTAAAAACTGCAAAGTCAAATCAAAGTGTTTTAGGAATATTTGGAAAGCAGTGTCAGTGCAGTAAAAATCAGACCTTATCAAACCGCTGCTTGGCCTCTGGTGTTACATTAATATTAACCATGTTGGAGAGTCCCGCGCTCCTGAACAAATATGTGGCCATGCATAATACACACACTGTCGTTGTGCACAAAAGCGTGTGTAACTCATGCAGGTGTTGTGCAGGTGGGTGTGGAACTCGTGCGTGTAAATCTGTAATTGGTCCATGTTTGATTCCACTCCTTCCTCCTCAGAATGCAAACCTGTTATTCCCTCTTTCACATAGCTGAATGGAAAACTATGCTTAGCTGCCAGAAACTCAACTAATACACCATAAATCATTAAATGAGGACAATTAGCAAAACCATGAGTAAAATTAATTCCAAAGATAAATGAAATATGTCGTCATTAAACTGCAGGATGGTTTGTGACATCCACTTGTGAATATCAGGAAGGCAGTTTATCAGGTTAATCATGTTTTGATAGTTGTTAGTTGGGTCACAGCTAAAATAGATCAGAGTGTCATCTGCATACAAATGGACACTGATATTATGCCTGTGTATAAGATGGCCAAGAGAATCGGACCTAGCACTGACCCAAAATGTACTGCAGCATACTGTTGTTTTTTTGTTTGTTTGTTTATTTTTGGTAGAACAAGATGAGATGCTAGCTAAGGAGGGCTAAAGCTGCCATTACAATAATTAATACATTAATTAAACCATTGAGAAAAGATGTAGAAATAAAAGTCTTAATGTGCAGGTTATTTAAAAAAGATAAATTACAAATACATCAATTTATTTAATATTTTCTATTATCAAGTATTATTCATCTATTTATTTATTTGACAAATTATTTATTTTGTATTCATTTATTTTCATATTTAATTATTTCCCATTTATGTTTACATTGATTTCTGTTTTTATTTAATTCCCTATTCATTTATTTTTGTTTGCAAATGCCTGAATAGTCAAGACAGCCAATGCCTGTTAAGTGACACCATCAAGGCACGCCCCCTCTTTAATAAAAACTGAGATACATGTAAACAGAAAATAATAAATTGGGGGGAAAAAATCAAAATCAAAAACAAGGTAATTTATTTAATAGATTAAAATATTTTATATATTTGTGATTTTTTTTTCAGAATTACCTGTGCATTAATTTGATAATTGAGACTTTTATTTCTACTTCTTCTTAATGAGCTCTGCATATGTTTTGGGTAAAATCCTAAAGCTGTAAAGCAACTAGTAACTAAGGCTTTCAAATAGTTGCGGTGAATTAAAAAGTACAATACTTCCCTCTAGTGGAGCAGAGGTAGAAAGTGGCATGAGATTTAAAATACTCAAGAACAAGTACCTCACATTTACATCACACTCCACCTCTGGGTTTTACACTTGTAAGGAGTGAGTCAGCAGAAATGTGACATACATGTATATTTTATAATTTTATAGTGATATTTATTAGCGGAATGGTGGTACAGCGGTTAGCATTGTAGACTAACAGCAAGAGGGTTCAAACCCACTGTGTGGAACCCACATGTTCTCCCCGTGTCAACGTGGGTTTTCTCCCACAGTCCAAAGACATGCAGGTTAATTGGTGACTCTAAATTGTCCATAGATGTGAATGTGAGTGTGAATGGTTGTCTGTCTCTATGTGTCAGCCCTGTGATAGTCTGGTGACCTGTCCAGAGTGAACCCTGCCTCTCGCCCAGTGTCAGCTGGGATAGGCTCCCCCGCGACCCCTAACAAGATAAGCAGAAAGCAAAAAATGAATGAATGAAGTAACCTAACAATCTGACATTTGACTCTTTCATAGGATACGAACGGGCCACTGGCGGGTATGACAACCCTGTGGCTCAGAACGCCCTCAACACCCAGGAGGAAAAACGCCTGGAAAGTGAGGAACAATTCTCACTTCAGGAACTAGCTGAACTTCTGGGTGTGGACCTTGATGCCAGCACCACTGAGAATGGATCTTGTTGCTCAGTGCGCCCTGAGTCCAATTCACGGCAGTATCGCATTGTTCGCCTCATCCAACAATCTGTGAACAAGCACTTCCCAAAGCCGCCGGCCGATGCGGACAAGAACCTTCACCAGCACCTGATAGATGTGAAGGAAACTGTGCGCAAAGAGCTCGTGAAGCTGGGACCCCTGCTGGAATCAGTGGGGTTGTTGGGATGTCTGATTGAATGCTACCATCGTCAGACATTTCGTCACCTTGATGCTCTGCTCCAGAACATCAGCTCCCCCCAGAGTTCCTTGGCGCTGATCAAGTGGGCCTCCCAAACATATCTGAGGTATCTATCTCTACCTTTTACCTTCTGTATCTTTATTTACTTCAACTTCAGAGGGTATCAGAACTGGAGCAGGCTTGTGTTAGAGAGAAGCCTTTATTTCTGATTCACACTACTTGATAAGTACATTTGGTCATATTTTAGTGTGAAGCATCCTTCGTTTCTAATCTTTGTTTCTGCATTAAGCTGTTAATTTGAACTTAACATCCTGAGACCATGTGTCCTCATATAAGGACATCACATTTCGGGTTTACTTGACTTTATACTTAATTCTACTAAACCTTGACATGTTGTCCTCATTTGTGGACACTTCTTTGTGCCATCTAGTGGTAGAAAGAGCACAACACATTAATCCATGTAAAGATGATGATGTCAAGATGGCAGCCATCTCTGCCAAGTCAGTCTGCAGACGATCCCGACGCAAAAGTGGACAAGGTCCAAAACCTGATCACATTTAATGGTTGAAACATGTTTATTTATGATTGATAATGTTTGTAGTTTGATAAGGATACAATGCAATTTCACCAATTTAAGCAACAGTAACAAGATGCTTTTAATTAGGAAGTATTTGTTTGAAGACATTGGGACTTTATTATCTTCTTATTTGAGGACATTGAAACTTTATTATCATCTTGTTTGAAGACATTGGGACTTAATTATCATTGCTAGGAGAAATTAAAAATGCTTACCAAACAAAATTTCGGGTGTCAGGAGGTTAATACTTCTGTATCTGTTTCAAAATTAAAGGAAAGAATCCACTTATTTTATAACAAGGCTTTTATTGTGAAACATTTGCAGGAACACATAGTCAAAAATTTAAAGACTTGCATGAGTCCCATAAGGTACTTTAAATGTAGCTACTGCCATCTTGTGGCGATTGGACATTACTACAAAATACAGTTTGTCTGGGACATTAAACACAAACAGATACCCAAAGTGACTGACATAGAGCTTCAACACTTAAATGAGTAAATTCAACAAATTTTGAAGACAGCATAATTGTCTGCTGGTCGCGACCACACCCCCGCCCATTATTTGAGCTTTGGGCTGATATTTAGGCTTTTATTCGAATACCAGCTGTTATTTGAGAAAAATACAGTACTTATTTACAAAAAATTGTTCTGTGCATAATGAATAATTTGACATTTTGGAGAATGCTTCACTTCCTTAAATGAGAAGACTGATATCACTCTCTTATCTATTGCCAGAAAACAGCCAGCGTAGTTTAGCTGAAAGACTGGAAACAGGGGAAAACAGCTAGCCTAGCTCCGTCTAACCCAAACTGTAACAAAGGTGGGCGTATTTTGCTTTTAGTGGACAGAGTCAGGCTCACTGTTTCCCCCCATTTCCAGTCTCTGTGCTAAGCTAAGTTAATCCCCTGTTGGCTGTAACCTGTAAAAAGACAAGTATAAAAGTGAAATCAATTTTCTCATCCAAACATGCATGAAAACAAACTCTAATTTTTACTATCTACCCACTGTATTCTGAATAACTCGTGCTTTCTGAACAGTATAATATTCAGAAGTGCAACTTGCAGCTGCTCAGTTCTGACGTTGGTATTTGTGGTACTTTCCTAGTCAGGATCTGCTCGGTCACCCTGACCTTCAGAAAATGGATCCCATAAAAGAAGCTGACCTCTTGCTGTTCACAGAGTGGGTCGAAAAGGCAAAGGACAAACTGCTTGAGAATGTGCAGGTAAGAATACTGACTCTCTTCTGCTTGTACTTGGTCACACAATTCAAAACCTTCATCATGTGAACAGATACTACACATTAATTCAGTCCTCTACCCCTTTCTTGACATATTTATTATGTGCCTTTGTGTAATGG